ACGGTCGTTTATAGCCGGATGAAGTAATCTTCAGGCACTACTCCAAGTTGATAGGTGACCTTCATTGACGCCCGAGTATTTCAGCCAGGCCTGCAGCCTCGTTAACAGAGCCCAGATTGTGCGGTGTTATATAACTGTCTTTTGTTCACGAGCCTGGCTCAGTGCACTGCTGACCTCTTTTCAATAAGGGCCAGATTAGCGTGCAGCGGTGCTGTATGGCTCATCGTTGCGGTGGTGGAGCGCTTTTGCCCCCGGTGGTAATCTGCTCGCTCTCAATGCCCCAAACCCTGGTATAGGGTTTCAAAACAAGGCTGGATTATCACCACTTTTGAGAGCGAAAAATGCCGGTAATGCCAAGCAGCCTGGTCTTTTGTTCGGAGTACGGTTTTTTGTTACAGGGCCCTGTTTCCTTTGTCCGAGTTCGGAAACCCCGGCCACCCATATAAACCATACGTTTCCAATCCCGGAGCCCCCGGCAGGAAGTCGTTAAGGTGAAGGGCCTGCTTGACAGTTGTGCTGAACTGAGCCACAATCAGCAGCTGCGAAATACAACTGACCTGAAGAAAGAATTTTATCAAGGGGGGAAAACCTCACAACTGAAATGACAAGGACAAGGGAGGCTACTACCTTCTGGTGACCTCAAAGTGGATGTTGACCTCGGAGATGCGGAAGGCTTCCCCTGGCTTGGGCCTCATCATGCCCCCTCCTCCAGGGCTGCCAAAGCCCAGTCTGTAGTAGTCCTGGACGTAAAGCTTCTTCTGCAGTTTGTCCACCGTCAGGACATCGATGGGTTTCAGCGTGGCCGTCACGTCCGTCTCGTCTATCACTGCAAATGAGGGAACAGCAGCGTCACGTGTTTTAGTCAACAACACAAGACATATGGGTGGACGGCATGTACCTTATAGACAAATCTAGCAAACCCAACATATCACAGGTCATTCTAATGCCTGCCTTTAATAGCAGAAAGCATTATTCAAAGCAACTGTCAGGGAAGAATGGTTCTGAACAGCAGTTATCACAATGCTTGCCGCCACTGGAGGGGGCCACTAGAAATGACCAGTGATAGCATTACCATGGCCTTATCACACTCCCTGCCGCCAC